AATAAGCTTTTGTAAATACATGATTCCACTATCTTATAAAATGTCGCTTTCGTTAAATTGGGGTGGTGGAACATGTGTCTGTCCTTTCCGCTATGATCTTAGGGGATAAGAGTTTCTTAATCATTATTGCAAAATTAATATGAGTGCAGACCTCATAGGATTTATTAGCCAGCTGGCAGTCGAACAATAAATGAACAATATAATAATAATCATATTTTGTAAGTGAGATTGTAATTTAACTAATATCACATTTTTAATATAATATCTTTAATATATCTGTATGCCTAAATTTTGATCACTATTTAATAATTTTTTCAAAAAATATCATAAAATTGTTCTGTTAATTAAATTAGAAAAGGATTTTTTTTAATTTTATGAAGTTCATTTAATTAAATTAAGTTTAATTCTATTTTAATTCTATATAAATTATAATTATGAGATTTTAAATTAATTTTTGATTTCTTAGAAATTATGGATAACTTTATGATCATTTTAATTACCTGAAAAAATAATTAATAATATTTTTATTTACAGAATGGGAGAATTTGAAGAACTTTCTAATTCTCAATCATTGGCATTTAGAAAAGATTTCTATTATTATTCTACCTAGGTTAGAGATCCAAAATTTTTAATACCAGTCTAAATATATTATGTAATACATAATTTAAATTTCCATATATTTTTTTTTATAGATTTAAATCATAGTAAACTAGATCTATGATGAAACTCATTTATTTAGAAGTTGAAAAAAGAAAACAATAACTTATTTTTTTTATTTTTACTGATATTTTCTTTCATAATATCTAATAAACATTTACTTTAAATTTATATTTCCATTAAAATAGACATTATTTATTAATTTAGTAAGATAATGAGAGAAAAACCATAAATTTGCTTGAACAAAGAAACCAACAAAAAAAATAAGAAATTAAAGATCTTTGAGCATTCATAATTAAACAATGCTTGCTTTTACATTCATAATTCAAATTTATTTACTATATATTAATTAATATTATTAAAATATTATTTTCAAAAATTAATGTATCTTTTCCAAATAAAACTATTCTAAGTGAATAGTGTAATTTAGAACGGATTTTCCCATTCAAAATGAAATATATTTTTAATCAAAAATTTTTAATTATTCATAATATCTGGATTATCCAATCGCATGAATCGATACCATTTTTTCTGATTCAACAAATAATCTACTCTTGATGATTTTCAAATCATCAAAAATTTTTTATGTTTTCTAGATAAATTTACATTCTATATTTAAAAGACTTTGATTAATAAATTTAAAATTTTGAATCATCAAGCTATATTTTTAATGCTTTCTTTTAAAAAAGACTTAATTAAAATTATGCAGAATGGCTGTAATAGATGGTTTATCAAATTCATATTTAGTATAAAGCTAAACTATAATTGACAGCTAATCCATTAATTTATAATTTTAGCATATACTTGTGAAGGATAAATATCAAGAAGTTCTAAACTCAAATTTATACATTACCTCATAAACCATCCTAGCAAACATTTCATTATCCAGTTCAACATATTTTACTGCAGCTTGAGTTATCTAAATTTAATTATAACATTTGCACATTTTTTGCCTCTCATAACAGCCACAAGGCAATTCATCTCTAAATAATTATTTAGATTTGATAATCGATTAAAACCCTAAAATAAGCGAACTCAAATCCTTCCATTTTTTTCCAAACTACTGTATAAATTTTATACTATATATTAATTGAGCATCTAAATCAATTTTCTTTATTATTCTTACTTCTTCTTTATTTAAAATATTTAAATAAAAATTCTCTTTTCTTATGAATAGATAAGATATAATATTTAATTATTTCTAGTTTATTATTAATTCTTTAACTAAGAGTTTATAAAAAGAGTAGTTATGTTAGATAAAAAATTCAAAAATTTCTATCCTTTCTTAATTACTTCTTTTCCACGAATTTAAAAGTGATGTGGTTGCAATTTATGTTAATCAACTAACAACTAATAAATTACAAATTAATTATAATAAATAAATTAATAAAATTTGATATTATATAATAATAAAATTATAAATTTCAAACAAATTTTAACTCAAATATTTCACATTCACTAATATTTGGTTTATCTTATCCAAATAAATGAGTAGATTAGTTATTCTCATATTTATCCCATTAATATGAATGACCTAAATTAGAATAACCATCTTTAAAGTCAGCTGCAATATATATATCATGACCACATCCAAATCTAGGTCCAGATCCAGAACTACAATATATGGCATATTATTTTTAATCCTATTTCAAAGGATAGATTTAATCATGTGTTTATGAGAATAAGAATGATGATAATGTATCATCTTAAACATAACTTTTATTCTATTACCATTAACATGAAGAATATCCACCAAAGATATATCCATTCTAAGATTAAAATATCATAAGTAGATTACACTTTCCATTACATTTATTCCAAAATGAATTACCATTTAATCCATCTCTGTTTCCTTAATAAATTAATTCTGATTCTTTTATTGTTTTTTTTGATTTCTCTTATAAAATAAAAAATAATTTAATCCAATATTC